TTATCCTAAGGAAATAATCCAAAAGAAGGAAAATGAGGAAGGTGATTGTTTTTATTACCTGCATTAGAGAAAAAGCAAACCCTCAGACAGCAGCCACAGTAATGGAAGGATATTTATGAGGACTGTGCAGCAACGTATCCCAGTCACGATTGGTGCATAAAACATAGCTGCCTAAAGAGTCACTCTCTTGCTCACAGTTTGATGGGTCAGGATGTCACAAAGACTCGGGGTCCTTACCTGTACTGCATTTGGATCTCCGCAGGCACTGCAGTCTCCTCATGGCATGACTGGGCTTGCTGTCCAAGGATTGTTTATGGGACTGGCAGTTGGTACGGCCGTCACCCGGAAGCTTCGCTGGGATGTAGACAAGAGCAATCCCACTCACCCCTCTGGCTTGATAGTCTCAGGGTGATAACTTCTTACACAACTCTGGTTTCTCCAGAGTCTGACGTTCCAAGAGCACCAGGTGGGAACTTCACAGTGTTTTCTGATCTGGTGTTGAAAGTCATGACGTCCCATTCTGCTGCATTCTCCTGATTCCAAGTGAATTGGTAAGGCTGGCCTAATTCAAGGGGAGGAGAGACTCCTTCCATCCATGGGAAGACTGCCAGAGGATTAAAGACTTGCTTTAAAACTTCTACAGTCTTCTTTGCATTCCTCCCACATGCAAAATTCCTTCACCTTCAGAAGGACCTCGCATGGACTCAGGCTTGAGGTTAAGTGTGTCATCATCTCAGTCAGGCCCAGGTGTGAAGGGAAGTCTCATCACGTGCTGGAGACTCCAGGACCAAAGAGCTCAAGGATGAATAATTATGAAAGAGCAAACCATGAAAGCACATAGCAGTAGCTGGTCCATAGAAATTAGAAATCTTCTGGACACGTGTTACCAATTCTTGATTAAACTCTTCTTTAGGAATTGCTCCCTGTAGTCCTTGGGTCCCCCATTTGGGCTTATTCTTTCAGAGCCATCCTTCTTTAAAATAATAAATAATCATGAGTACAGCCAGGTGGATTTCTCACCCTGCTTTCTTCCCGCAGAAAGCTGTGGACCCAAAACCTTCTTTGCGTCTTGCGTTTCTTTTTATCTGTTTTGACCTGAGATAGTGTTCCTTCTGCCTATAACATTCTCTTGAATTTTGTGACAGTTTGTATTAATCTTATTAGAGTTCCTTTCATTAGACAAAAATCATAAAAAATCGTTGATACAAACCCTTTCCTGTCATCACCTCTTTAAGACTTCCAAGAGGATTCCTCTTCAAAGCCTACAAGGCCTATTATTTGAGGGGAATGAACTGCTACTGTTGCATTTTTACTCTAAACTGGGCCCCAAATCCTCATGCATTTGGACAGTGATTGAATCCTGGAAGCTGTTTGGCCAGCTTGCCGAAGGTGAGGCCTGGAGGGTGTATTCTTGTTGCCAGTTCCTCCTTCTCAGCCCTTCCTGGCTGCTGTGGTCTAGCACCTCCCCCACCCCTACCCCACCGCCGTCATCCTCTCTGCCACAGTGTCTGCCTTGGAGCTTGGAGACTATGGACTGAATCCAAGAGCCAAAACAAATCTCTCCTCTTCTAAACTGAGAGTGTTGGGTATTGTGTCTCCAGTAACTACAACATCTACAAAGCATAATCTAAAGTCTTCAGATGCTTTTCATCCAACTGATGAAATCTTTCTGAAACCTTACAAGAAGGGTTTAAGGTGACCTCTCTGGCTTTTTCCTTACTCTGGGGTTGCATTTTCCTGAGGGATCCTTGGATTTGACTTTTTCCTTAGAGTCCTATCTTACGTTTAGAATCCTTTGCTGGCTGAAAATGATCTCTCTGTTGCTTTATATGTCTTCCAAATTCCAACTGAAAATAGGAATACCTGGCATTTTTAAAAACTTGTTTGTATCTCTTTGCTCTCTTTTTACTATAGGCAGCAAGAAGAGGCCAGGTGGCAATTTAAACACTCTGCCTGGAAATTTTCTTGATTCTATCATTTGGTATACTACCTTCTACAGCTCTGTGGGTGATTGTTTTGGTAAACTTCCCATCACTAAACAGCAAAAATCTTCTTTCCTTTAACTTCTTGGAACTTCTTTAACTTTGCTTACTTTCCTCAAAGGTCCATAGCCACTGGTGTCTTTCTCAAGGCCCCGTCAAGTTTCAGCTAACAGATCCAAGACCCTTCCAGCCTTTGCCTGTTGCCCAATCTCAGAGCCAGTGCTGCGTCTTTGAGGTTTTATTATAGTAACCACAATTTGCAGGTAGCAAAATTCATCTTGGTTACCACTGCTACATGGAAAATTACTTCACAAGGTTGCGGCTGCAAACCACCATTTTATTTTGATGGTAATTTTGAGCATCAGAAATTTGGAAAGGGCTCAGCTGATTCTCATTTGAGGTACTCATGCAATTTCAGCAAAATGTCAGCTGGGGCTGCAAACATCTGAAGACCTGACAGGACTAGATGTGCAGGATGGCTCATTCCTACAGTCAGCCATCGATGCTGGCTGCCAGCTATGAGCTGGGCTGGGCTGTCCATCACTCTCCACCTGGGGACTCTCCACACTAAAGTCTCAGGATGCTTGACCTTATCACGGGGTGGGGTCCCCCTGGAGCTGACAGTCCCAAAGAACCAAGTAGAAGCTGATGATCTTTTATGACAACATCACTTCTGCTGCATGCCTGTGGTTTACAAAGTAGTCACTAACTCATCCCAGATGCATGGAGATGGGACACAGATACCACCTTTTGATGAGAGAAGTGACAGAGAATATACAGGTATGTTTTAAAACTGCCACATAATATATTAAGAATCTAAGGCTAAATGCAAAAACACAATGTAGAATTGCAGGTATATTGTGATTGAAGATTCATAGGAGTGGACATACAGAAGGAAAAAGTGAAAATTTTTATAACTCATAATTAAGAATGATTTTCTCCATTTATTTTATAATAGAAAAGTGATTCTATGTTTTGCATTACCAGCTCTGCTCCATTTTTCCTCCTGGTTTATCTTGAGGGTATCTGGGAGACTGGTTTTGAAGCAGGTTTGGGGTAAGACAGGGCACTGACAGTATGACCCTCTGGTCATGGAGGTGGCCCTGGATGTGGTGAGGACAGATTGAACTGTGGTTTCTGGGATTTGACATGACACTTCCAGGACTGTCCCATTCAGTCCCAGGTTGAAGCCCACAGTGTCACCTAATGACTTAAAAGGGCAAGACCGCCAAAGCAGGTTTTCACCCTTGACTGTATCCTGTTCTTTTTGCTCCATAAAACAACAAGAAAATTTGCCAAGTGGTGCCACTGAACAGTAGTGTACATCTGTCAGAATAGAACGGGTGCACGTTCAGTCTCCCAAGCGCTGTGAAGTCACAGCGCATTTGCCTTCCACACTCTGGTATCCAGAGAACTTTACTGACCTTCTTGTGCTCACATAGCAAGACTTGGGCCACATAGGAGGCCTATGACAGACTGAAGTGTGTCTCAAACCTGCACCACTCCCTGAATCACGGATTGAAATCCTCCCCCCAGTGTGACTGTATTTGCAGATAAAGCCTTTATGGAGGTCGTTGAGATTACATGAAGTCATGAGGCTGAAATGCTAATTCAGTAGCACTGGTGATCCGATGAGAAAATGAGACTGCAGCCTAGTCCAGCTGGGCTCCCTGCCTTGCAGAGGTCTCATGCACAGTGGGTAATGGCAGTGAATGCAGCCTGTTACTCCTGTGGGCTGCTCTGAGGGACCGCAGAGGCTGCCTTCCAGTGGGAGTTCATGCCTTTGATCTCTGTTGTCCCCAGTCTAGGCTCCACACAGGAAAGCAGCACCTTTGGAGGCCCCAGGGGATAGTTGCCTGGGTTTAGGGTGACCAAATCATCACATCCATCCACATCAAGATGCAGAACACGGAGCATGTGATTGAGATCCCCATGGGGCCACATTCAAATCCCAAGTGCCAGATAATCCACATCAAAGCAGTGGGGCTTTTCCAAATTTAACATGGGTCGGTTTGAAAACATGGTGACTGAGAAGGGACCTGTAACAGATGACTGTGGGGTCACACACATCCCTAATTGTGGTCCCCTGGGTGAGTGGTAGGCCCTGCGCTCTTCTACCCATTCTTAGTGAAGCCCACCAGTAAGCCCACAGCTTTCCTGTCAAAAGCTGAGACACCAGCCATCTCTCTCTGTCTCCACCACTGTCTGTTACTCCACAGAGGAAAGGCCACATGAGGACACTGAGAAAAGGCAGCCATCTGCAAGCCGAGGAGAGAGGCCTTAGGGACAGTCAGGCCTCCTCACACCTTGATCTTGGATTTCTGTCTTCCAGTGCTGTGTTGAGATAAATTTGTGGTGTTCAAGTCAACCAGCCTTTGGTATTTTGTTGTAGCATCCCGAGCTGATGAGACAAAGCCCTGTAGACTGGGCCCTGGTGCTCTGTTGACCCTCTTGTTTCATTTGTAAAGCATTTCTTTACTTTCTGGTAAGGATGGTCTATGTCACGTGATGTTTCCTGTCCATGGTACAGAATGAGGGTCCCCAGAGATGACCGCATCCTAAACCTTCAGACCCAAGACTCTGTGGCCTTACTGGTGTACAGCCCAGCATCTGTGCCACCGCATGAAATCGCCTCCCATGAGGACCAAGGAAAAATGTGAAAAGCAAACGTGTAATTTTGCCCAATGAGGAAAATATTGAAAAGAAAACTTAGCTGACATTTGAGTAAATGAAGAGCTATTTCTAGGATGAGAAGGGCAGAGCAGAGATAAGTGTGAATGACAGTGTTGATGAGGAATGGGCCTACAGTGAGCAGAAAGAAGACTCCTGTGTGTACACAGTGAGGCAAGGGAGGAGGAAAAGCCAAAGATGCTTAGGACGGGGTTCCTGTCCTCAAGGAATTTCTAACCTATGGGCGGCTTCTCGCCTACGTGGAGAACTGGAGATTATCCAGACTGGATTATTGACCCAACTCATGATTAGATTTCTCTTAATTAATCAAATTTTTCCATATATTCCTAAAATATGGAATGATTCATGTATTTGTGTGTCATCCATAGGGAGGGACCAAATGAATCTTCTCTGTCACCTCAGCTTTAGTCTATGTGCTTCTAAAGGGAGCACAATGGTTAGGTTTAAAAGAGAGAAGGCAGAAAGACCTGGCAATGATGACTCTGATGATCCAGCAGAGAAAATGGTCTTCAGCCCAAATAGTGATTCATCATGATGGAAGGAAGCCCAGTAAGAAAGCAGAGAATGGAAGGTCAAGTTCTTGTGGAGACACAGAGCTGTGTGTGGTCACTGAGCCTTTGTTTGTTGATTTTAAGCAACCTCATGGAAATGATGGCTGTGGAAAGAGAGCAACTGAGCGCTAGCTGGGACTGATGCATCCTGAACCTGTACTGCAGATAAGGCAGTGAAGAAGTTAAACAGGGAATGTCAAAAGATTTGTGCTGATGTGCTCTTCTCAAGATACCTTGTCATTGGCTTCTGCTTCATATAAAACCAAGATTCTTCAAGCTTAACTTCATGTTTAACTCACAAGTTCCACATGCCTTTTGCGCATTTTCAATGTGTCCATGATGGAAGATTTTTTTAAGGACCTCCATGAGCCTCTGAGAAAAGTGCTTTACATCATGGATGAAGTCTTGAACTCTTGTCTCATCACCCAGGCACAAGATCATGGAAACTTCATAGGTTATCTGAACTTCTTTGAGCCATTTACCTTTCTGGGAACCAGTTTCTCTTCTATATAACGATGATAATCATGTAGTCCTCTCATTGCGGGTGAGATTTGAGAATCATCTAGTTTGTACCTGGTCTGACTTTTCTAGAAGATTTGAACCCTGGAAACAAGGCTGCTTGAGTTAGGTGTGACTTCATCTTGATGAGGCTGTTGGTCTCAAGCCCCAGCTCCGGGTAGGAAAGCACTTCTTCCTTGCTGTTGAGCTTGATGAATTAGTTTAACTTAGGCTCTCGGGTGTAGAAACACCTGGGGTTGAAGGAAGCTCAGACTCTCTCCAAAATGCCTATCAGGGTGCAAGCTGGGAAAATGTCCTGTAATGAGTGTGAGCACAGGTCTAGGTCCATGAGCACTAGGAGCTATTTTCTGTCTACTTCGCTGTTTTTATTTCCATGCCTAGGATTGGTTTCATTGCAAGTGACATCCTTATCTGTGATGCATTGGAGGGCATAAATAAATGGAGTTCCTTACATTTGGGAGGAAATGGACAAGAAGAGGGAGGTAAGACCGGGAGTGACAATGAACCCATTAGCAAAGAATCGTGTGTCACGGAGATACTGTATAGCAGTAAGATAAAGAAGACCAAGTGGCAGAATCCGAGTGTTTATGCCTGAGTGTTTGAAAGAAGGCAACTACAGGACAGAAAGAGGGAGAAATGATGGATGAATTGGGGGGGCTATTTTCTGCTAACTCTGTGGGTAGACTCATGGGTGACTAACCCAACACCTTCACTGATGGGACACACATGTGTCTACACTCATTGGGGTTGGCCACTGTTTACAGCCACTGTGGGATTGTAAGACCAGACCCAAGGGAGATAGCTGGCCCTGGTTCTAAAGCTTACCATCATTTATGAAAGAAAGGAAATGCCACTGGTGATGACCCAGAATACCTCCAAAGTCTTTTATGAAGAAGCGAAGGAATAATTGGTTGTGTATCATTTTGCCAATAAGCCATGCATTCCTTTTTATTCAGTCTTACAGAACTCTCCCTCCTAATATTTCTGAGTTCTGAGTTTTATAACTAGGCGTCATTAAAAAACAGGGAGTCAGGTTTTCAGGCTGCCTCACTGTGCCAAGAATTAACATTTTGGTTTCTGGATATTGGAGAAGTTGGTTCCAGATAGGGCTGGCTAGCTGGTGGTGGGACGGCAAACAGTAAACTTGGTTCTATGCATATTTGCCAAGTAGTATGGAAGTATTCCACTGTCAAGCAGAGCAGCTGGGTGCTGGTGCATGCCTAACCTTCTCGCACACATTGCACCTACCAATGGGGGGGCGGGGAAGGGGCCTCACCCCCCCCAGTCATTTATGACAGAACTTTGGGGTCCCTGCACTTGAGCTGGGACCTGCAAAGTAGGGGAACCCAGCTTCAGCCCAGGCCCCCAACTATGCTCTACAGCTCTTCGTATTCACCCTCCTGCACAAACAGAGAAGCCAGTGAGAGCCAGCGCATACTGCCGCCCTGTCCCCTTGAGTCTCCCAAATGAGCCAGGTCTCCATGAATCAATGACTGTTTTAGGACTGTGATCTGCCTTGCCTAAAAATAAAAAAGCTTTGCTTATTTTTAACTGTACCTCTTCTGCTTCTGGGCCTGCATGAATTCTAGTTGATTTGTAGCTTGCAAAATGGAACTATTTCCATGACACCCACTCAGGGTGCCCACAATCTGAGCCCACACCTTCCTACTCCAAATCAGTGTGGCTGACTCAGTTTCCTGCTGACTCACAGCAGCCTCTGCCTTACCAGTCAGCTGGTTCCAGGGGTTACAAGTGGCTCTGAGCAGAACACAAGAGCCCTGGGAATCAGAGCGCTGTGCAGATATGACCACAGTGAGAGGCTCAGCTGAATTCTCGTGGCCTGGGTCTTCCCACTCTCCGGAGTTCAAGTGCACTCTGAAATGCGCCTCTGAATCCGCATCTGTGACTTGTGATGAAACAGCTCACAAAGTTCAGCCAGTATGATGGCCAGCTGCTTAGAAAAACTGGATTCTAAATTAAACTTCCAATCACTTATGAAAGAAAGTAAATCCTATTCCTAGTGACATGGAAAGTCATTTTAAAAGAGCTCTTTTATAATGAAGAGAAGGGGTAATTAGTTTGTCCTTGATTTTCCCAGTATGCCTTCCTTCCTGTTGAGATCAATAAAACTCTTGTCATCAATCCTTTGGAGTTCTAAGTGTTGATACCAGGGTTCCTTCAAGAGAACAGAAGGAATTAGCTTTTCTTAAAGGACTATATTTGTGACTTATACCAGCCTCCTCATATCCACTCTAGTGAATTTCCTTGTATAATTGACAACATTCACTGCTACTGATGAAAAAGTTGATAATCTTCTAATAAAAACATTCAATTCAGAGGTGATAGAAATAAAAAACACTTTATCTTCTCATAATCTTTAATTTTAATAAAATCTGTGGGCTCTGGGTATAGGGCTTATAAAAGACAGGCAAATGGTCCCTCTGAGGGAGAAAAAAACACAAGAAATTTCAGAGAAAATCTATTCATAATCAAACAAGAGAAATATAATTTTCAATAACCTCTGTATTCCTGTCTTTACTGCCCTAGTGATGAAGTTTTTGAGTACCCTCAAACGACCACTAAATTGTGACTGTTAATTTTATGTGTTAACTTTGGGTGGGCCACAGTGCCCAGATATATGACCAAACACTTTCCTGAATGCTGCTGTGAGATGTTTGGCGCTGAGATTAACATTTGGATCAGTGAGCTTTGAGTATAGCCAGCTGACTCCCATCACACCAGAGGTGAATCTGATCAGCAGAATGGATGGAACAAAAGTCTGACCTTCCTATAACAAGAGCAAAACAGAGGGTACTCGATTTCAAGTTATATTACAAAGCTACAGTGATAAGAACAACATGGTAATGGAAACAAAAACAAGACTTGTGGATCAGTGTAACAGAACAGAAGAGCCATAAACGTACCCCGGAAGAAAGACAAATGATGCTGGGAGAACTCGTTATCCACATGCAGATGATCAAATCTAGACCTGTATATCTCACCGTGTGTTAAATAACATCACAATGAATTGAAGAACCAAGTGATGAAACAGAAATGCTTATTCTTCAGGAAGAGAAAATAGGTAACATTCTTGAAGACACAGCTGTAGGCAGGAACTCTCTGGATGGAACGCCAGTTGCACAAGAGAACACCAAGCATCACCAAGTGGAATCATCTCCAATTAGAGTACTTCTGCACGGCAAAGGGAACAACAGTAAAAAGACAACCAGAAGCATGGGAAGACGTCTGCTAACTATCCCACAGAGAACTCAGAGCTGGAATACACGAAGAACTTAAGAATGAGACCTGCCCCAAAGAAAAGACCTAATCAAAAACGGGCAACTTAAATGAACAGAAGATTTGTACTTCCCATAAGATAAATAAATGAAAAATGTTTAACATCGCTGTTTATTAGAGAAATGCAAATTAAAACAACACTGAAATTTCGTTTTGTTCCAGAAACAATGGCTATCATTAAAAAAATCAAACAACAAATTCTGGTGGGGCTTAGGGGGAGAAAGGAATGCTCTGCATTGTTGGTGGGAATGTAAACTGGCACAGCCAGTGTGGAAATTAGGATGGAGACTCCTCAAAACACTAAAAGTAGAAATGCCATTCAGCCCAGTTATTCCCCTTCTAGGTATCTTTATGAAAGAGATAAAGACATGACATTAGAGTGATACATGCATACGCAGGTTTATAGTAACATAATTCACAATAGCTAAATCTTGGAAACAGCCTGTATGTTCATTGACAGATGAATAGATAAAGAAAATAGGGTGTTTATATACAATGGAGTACTCTCTGCCATAAAAAAGAATAAACGAGTTATTTGTAAGAAAAAAATGCACCTTGAGACCATAATATTAGGTGAAATAAATCAGACATACAAGCTTAAATATCAAGTTAAAAGAAAATAAGGATAAATGTAAAGAGCAAAATAAAAGATAGATAATAGGAAATAGGGAGATCTTTTATGAAAGAGAAGGGGCTCAAGAGATGGGTACAAGGAGGAGAAGAGGAGGGAAAGGGATGAAAACAAGAATTAAAATATATTACATACAAGAGCAACTCCCATGAGGAATGTAATTATATACTGCAAATATGTACTAATAAAAACTAAAAAGTAAAAATTGAAAAAAGAAAAGAGAGAGAAAGAAAGAGAAAATAAGAAAGATTGACTTCTCTGACTTCCCTGAAGGCAGAGAGGAAATAGCAGTTAAAGGCAACATACACTAAAGATTGATCCCAGCGCCTTGGCTGAAACCCCAGTTTCTGTTCTTTCTCTCTCTCTCCTTCTCAATTTTTCTTTTTTCTCTTTCTCTTTCTTTCTCTCTCCCTTTCTCTCTCTTTTTTTCCTGT